ATACTGCAAAGTTGAGGTCAAAGTTATTTGGGTACACAGCTAACTGATTTAGTTTGAAGAATTTGCACAGTCAATTGATTGATTTGAAATTGATTTATTATTGTCTAATTCAATTAATTCTCTCCATTGAATCTCTATTCACCAGCCTCGAAGAAATTTCAACGCTTTAAAGTGGATGTTATGTGGTTATTTTGTAGGGACACCAGAGTTTCAATTAGTACATTTGTCTAATCGACTGAAATGATAATAATAATTGTCGTGCACCAAAGTCTGTGTTTATAAATGAATTTGTATAATATATCGAAATAATTATGATGCGACCAAAATGAATGATTTTAATAAATGTTTCACTTCCAAAACTACATTATTTATCGCAATTTAATGAATGTTTATACGTTTTTAATATTGTTGACATGAAAAATGATAACACTGTTACAATGCACAGATGCAAAAACATATTATTTGATCGAGTATATGTGTCGAGGCGTATGTTAAATTGATGATATCTCTTGTTTTCTCTCTCTCTCTCTCTCTCTCTCTCCACACTTTACACACTGTATTCCTTAATAGTATTGTTCACCATACATGCTGTTGAACATAAAAAAATATAACTGTTATGAACATTATCCAAATACGAAATATTTAATAAAGAAGTATTAAAGGATCTATTGGCTTTGGTATATTAAAAGTAATGTTGAAATAGAATGTGACAGTGACATGTGTATGGTCAGAACTAACACCACTCATGCCCATAATGTAGCGGTACATTGTAATATTAAATCTGCTATTGGCAATAAGTAATCACTTAGGTAGTTTAATTTATCAAAAGGCTTTTATGTGAATTGTTCAAATACGCATAGGTCGATTGGTTTTGGAAATCGATAAGAATGCTTTTTATCAATTATTTTGACTATTTTCTGTACATTATCTGATGAATGTGCTTTCAAATTGAAATAATGCATAAAGTGCTTTAACTTAATTGTATATCACATAGATTCAATCAAATATCGTTTGCGGCAAACCATAAATTGAGATTATTCATCAAAATTGTGTCTTGTTGTCGAAATCGAGTTAAATTCGATTTCAAATTTACACGCGACACAATCTCAATACCCAAGACACACACTTTGCCGACCAAATCACTTCTTAAGAATAAATTTACCGATTGTGACAACTTATTCAAACCTATGGAAAAGTCAAATTCAGTATTATTTATGGTCATGCATGACATATACCATCCATAAAGTTCCTTACTATCAGTCATATGTGAATCAAATATGACAGTGTGTTGTAAATGAAAATAAAATGTTTGGGTGTGTGTATATATGGATGCTGGAATGTGCAACGGATTTTCACAAAATTTGACTTTGCCACAAAGCTTTAAATGATTTAGTCAATATTGAGTTTGGGAATGAATCTTCGGTGCTATACAGAAGACGATCAACATTACGTCAAAATGGTTGGGCGGACGTATATGTATTTTGGCATAAGTTTAATAATATTTTATTCAAACGTCCGGGCTTTGTGTGAACCTCACAACAAAATGATAAATGGAATATGCCAAGACACACAAAACCATTTAAATCGCTTCAACAAGCAACCGTCCACGGTATTTATTTAGTTGTTACATCTTGGGAAAAATGTTTCTTTTAATTTCATCATTTTTGTGGTGTTAAAGTGAACCGTAGTGTTTGAGTTGTGCGCGTTTCAAATGTTGCGATACGGCTACAATGAAATATATGGGTGTTTTCTTGGTAAACGAAGACCATTTTCAAATGCTTGTGCTCGCAAAATTTTGACATAGACATCGATGCGCTATATGAGAATAGGCAAGCATTCCATCAAACAAGATTTATTTTTCTAATAGAAGCAGACATTTATCGATTGCCACCGAAATATTTAGATTTTAAATAAATTGATAGTCGTAAATATTTGAAATCGGTCTATCCAAAGTCCAAATAACTGAGTATGCAAACGTTCGTCCTTCGTTTTTTTTTTTCGTTTGTTATACCATCGTTGGCTTGTTTTCGTTTTTCGTTTCACATATATTTTATATAACCGTAGATAAATGATTTACATTTGGGTGATGATTGAAATAAATGATTTTCTTCCTTCTCTATATCCAAGTCCCTCTCATTCACTCTCTTTTACTTTCATTTTTACTGTAATTGTCGTGGTTTGGCTCAGTTTTCTACGTTTTTTTTTTTAACTTTAAAGATACTAATGGAGTTATCCATCGCTTTTATATTGTTACACCGAAAGTACGAATGAGATTTCATATTCAATTCCATGCGAATTCCATTTTATCGCAACTGAAATATTTTTCATAACTGTGATTTTTTTGTCGATGTTATTTTTACAATATTGTCACTTTGACGTGCTATATATTTTGAAACGCAAATCGATTTCTGATACGACCAAAATAGGCAATACTGGGTATCGCGCCCACATTTATCATCTATTTTATGGTTAGTATTAAAATGAAAATGTCATCCATGTACCAAATTTAAAAGGTCTCATCGATTTTATTTTTTTTTTGAAAAGACTTGATGTGATATAATTTCCCGAACAAATAGAACCATCACGTGTACGATCTCATAATATGATTATGTAAAAATTGATAAAAATCCTTTTGGCAAAAAAATGATTCATTTATTGTATAACAAAGTGGCGTCCAATGTTGTTCTTTGTATGAATTAATTTTTAACGCAGTGTAGTATAAGCATTCTTTTCATTGTTAGCCATATATGTTAAAATAGTTCCTGGTATTATGAAGGCATATGAATGGAAAGGTTCCTAATAGCGCAAACTATTAAGAATAAAATCAATTATAGTTGTACTTTGGAATGGTTTAGATTAATTTCAACATGCATTAGCCAGCGACGCTGTATGCTCCAAAGATGGATTTGAGTTATGGTTGTGTAACATAAAGTTTTGATGTGTTGTTGCCGTCGACCACACCTGTCATAATCAGGCGGCACAAACTACATAAACAAAATGCCTACTCACACCATGGCATCGCATTATTCACGAGGCAATGCGGAGTCAAATACAGAAGCAGCAGGAGCATCAGCAACGATGGCAAAGGTTAAATTACGCTCATTTTTTTTCTCCCAGCGAATGTGTCGTGCTTCGCAAGGTTCATTATATTGTTCGAATCAAAAACGTTTCATCTGATTTATATCGAATCACATTATTTTAATAATATCGTTATCGGAGTTCAGAGCGTTCATGAATTTTCGACAAGCAAACGTGGAAATGGCCTTTACGTTAAGATATAACATATTGGTGCACATAGAAAGAAACATTCCGTAAAATATCTCTCTCTATATATATGGCGTGTAACGAAGAAAGAGATAGAAAAAGTTCAAATGGAGATTTGCTTGGGGTAAATTCGCTTAGCCTTAAATTGCTTTGCATTTGACAATGATAAGATAGCAAATAATAAAAGGCACCTGAAATTGAAACGCATACAAGAAAACCGAAAAATAAAATGAACACGCACACACTACATCGATATATCATCATATCAGCTCACTGTAAATGGCCTGTAGCCAGTCCGCGTTTTATAAAAAATCACTTGAAAATACGGCACATAAAATGGCGATACCTGGCCCATCACACACATAACAAACGACTATTTTAAGTGAATCAGAATGAAATAAAGCATATAAATGGTGAATCAGAATATTCGTCTCCCTTCGAGCCTGCTGATATCTTAACAGGCACACAAAACCGGATCCAATACAGATCGATTATCTCAACAATGAAGATTGAATAGATAATGCGCGCACACAATGAAAGAAATACACACATTTATATGCAGAGGGTAATAAATTATTGTAAAGTTTGCTATTCCCTTCAATACTGGATCATCGTCATTCGCTACGTACACACAACAGACAGTTATGTATATATACAAAGAACTCCATTGTAAATGATCAGACATCCGAATTGCCCATTAAGCTAAATGAATATATGGACAACAACAAATAAAAAAAAAACACCAAGAATTCAACATTTTCACTAGCTTAATGTCATATTATAATTTAATCAATTCCATCGATACCACATGAATTTCTAGCGCGAGCCAGTTGGCTAGTTCCTCTTCTTCATATACTGAATTTTTTCTATTAACTGAATGCCAAACATATGTTGTGTGACAACCAAGAAACACACACACATATATATATATTTTATTTATTGAGATCAAGAGATAATGAGAGTTATTTGTTTTGTTTTTGGCACATATTCTTTTTCTTCTTCCTTCGTTCTTTTGCTGAGTTAGTTTTTTTTTCTATTCTATTGTTCGCCCTCCAATTGTTGGACGTTTAGTTCGACACGCTTTGCGAAAATAGAGAGATACAAAAGCAGAGGCAGAGAGAGAGTGAACAAAAACCGAGGCACGTTTATTTTAACGATAACATGGCAAGCAAAAGGAATAATGATGGAAACATAAATTGACTAACGAATGGGAAAATAGCTTTTTGGTCAAATTATCATCGCTTGGACACCGCTTATTCTTTTGCACTTCGTTCAATATTTCGACTAACTCATATCATTTGTCACAATTTTGTCAACTCAATAAATATTACTTGGATGTAGTTTTGTTTCGCATTTCACTAGCTTTGTTCTTTGTTTTCACAAACTTCCGTTCTATTTCTTTTATCAAATACTTCAGTATACTATATATATATGTTAATTGTTGTGCCAAGTTGTTCGGCCTGTCTCAACTCACTAATTTATATTCAGATCGATATGGATATCGAAGAGTTTTTGTGAACGGTGTGATATAGTGGTGATTGATTGTGAGCAAAAGTGAAAATTTGGTCACATTGTTCGCATGTGTGCCAAACGAAATGGCGAACATCAAACATTAGCAGGCAAAACGATAAATCAGTACACATACTATACAGAGAAGAAAAAAAAAAGAACAAGATTCTACTGATGCTAAAACACATGAAGCGAAATAGAAAAATGCTAGCGTAAAAAAAACTTACCAAATATCCTTCCTGCATGACAATGTGTCACGAACAGTAATCCATAAATGAGAAGTCTGAGATTATTGCACACTATGAAAATTTGCATTTTTATCAATAACGCTATATTCCATCTATGTAAAACGATGCATCACATGAGGCCGTTCATGCCTTTTTTCAATTTTTTTACAAATTTTAAATTTTGTGTGGCCGTTTTGAGAGCAATGTCTCTGTATTCTCTGTTTTTAATTCTTTTATTTGAAATTTACGGTGCGCACTTGATATTTGAACTTGCTTACAAAATACAGTTCACTTTATTTTCTTTTTACAGTTTCCTTTTTCTTTATTAATTTTTTTACTTGTGTTCTCATTAATTTACAGTTATCACCTAATTAGCGTTGCTTTCAGTTGAATTTTAAATTAATTTTAACATTAATTCAACTGACAGACATTTGCCATTTGCATTTACAACTAAAAATCACTTTAGTTTTCTTGTTTTTGTTGCGATCAATTTTCTTTCATCGTTTTTGTACATTGTTATTATTTTTTTTTAAATTTAAATTGTATTATATTCGGTGGTATTTATTCTGTTGAGTATCTTCTTCTTATTCGTATTTTTCTTCTTCTTTGTTTTCGTTCACAATTGAATTATTCTCATTTAATCAGCAAATTCAGCTTAATTTTTTCATTTGGCAAAGAAAAAAGAATTGTTAATCGTTTGTTCTGGTTCTGGATTCATGAGACATCGACGTCGGTCGAATTAGATTTCCAAGTGAATTTCTTTCCAAATTATGGCATTGAAGAGGTGCGACATGGTCATTATCACTGCTGTTGTATCTGGATTAATGCCAAATGTCAAATTGTTTATTCAGCAGACTGCTTTATATTCATTCATATGAAAAATATGAATGCATTTTTAAAATTGTTGTTGTTGCCGTTTTTTTTTACAGAAATAAATTCAACGAAATAAAGAATAAAATGCAATTACAACAAGACAATGCACCGAGCACAAACAAGATATCAATTAATTCACAATAAAGAATATTGTATGGGAGAATGTCACAGAATGCGATAGCAACTTTTTATGATCAATATTAAAAGAATTATCTGAGCTATAATATTATTGTTATTGCGCTTACTTTTTACGTATACAACTACAGTATCCATTATTTTGCACTGAAATTCATAACTACAGAAAGGACAAACAAATTATGATTCACTGTTGCATTCTATTTGTTTTTCATGGGGATTTTTTTGTGTGTGTGTGTGTGTGTGCGTTTGCTGTTGCTGTGAGTGAATAAAAACATGAGCGAAAAAATGGAGGTTTGAAGCCTTCTTCATATTTCTGGAATGCAAAATCATGCTATTTCACTGGCCATGTCACTGGCACTCATCATTTGTGATGATGCTACGTAGCGAGTGATTGCATTTATTCAAATTGTGACACAGAATTCATTTTCGCAGTGCAAGTGAATCGTAACTGGTGCGTATGTGGCGCATGGATAAACCACTTTACCTACACCAGATCAAGTAATTTCTTTTTGGTGTTAAGACGTGTACACAAAGTAGACGTGTAGCTTTTGCGGAATTTTATTTGTATCAAATTTTCATAGATGTAGCTTTTTTCTTTTATTAAGATAATTCTATTTCATGTATTCAGCATTTTTTTTCTCTTTCATCTTATGTATTATATTTCTGTATAATTTGTGCAAGACACGAATTTTCCATGTGCTGTAGTTGTATTTAAAAAAAGGAAAATAAAAACGGGGCCGTATACTGCCTTTAATTGCGAACGCATTGAAGCTTACGTTGATGGTTGAGTCTCAAAGAACACTTTTCTCAAATTATTTGCGGGTTTCTTTGTTGCCAACCAACAGTCGGGTTAAGACGCCACATTGTTTTGATTTCAGGTTTGTGAGTTTTTATGTTGATAGCATCGTTTTCATAGGCAGTCCAACAAAACCACTTTACCATTCACAACGTCTTATTATTTTGAATGTACGTACTTTGATGTTTAACAGTCTCGTTCACATGACAACTGTGCATACTGCACATGAAGTATTGTTTTTTTTTTTCTTCCTGTGTTCGGATTTGCCTTTCGTTATTCTAACAATCCAATGCACGATCTAGATTTTCTTTCTTACTTCATAGTCCGAGTATTTTGTACATATGCTAGATACGGCATTATTAATGATATCACAGTGCATAGTAAAAAATGCAAGTAAAACAAATTTTTTTGCTTCTTCGTATAACCAAAATGAAAAGATGGCCAACGAATCTAATATTGCGAAAAAAGCGCATTGTTAAACCAGAGACAACACACAAAAAAAACGTTGCTCAAAAAAGCACGCTATATGTTTAAATAATGGAATAAACGTCTATACCATTTTTTACTGGTGTGTGTGTGTGTGTGAATGTTTGTTTTGTCTTTGCCCATTCTTGGGCTTGCCGATCTTTTTATTTTTGCATTCACGTGCTGTAATTTAATGCTACAAGTAAGAATAGTGCGATACTCATAGTGGCAAGCCACCCAGAGACACTGATAAATTAATAACAGAATAGCACACCAGTACACCATTGCATCGAATTGTGTTGCATGTTCAATGTTTGTCGGAGCACTTTCCTCACGTAGTTTGTGTATATTTGATGCGGAGTGTTAATTTGACACATTCATTTCTTTTAATCTCAATCCCCGGAACATTGGAACATAATGGTTTGACACTTGGATTCATAATGATGAATTTTGAACAATGCATGGCCCAAACGTAGTGCTCTCATTGTGAGTGCATTATGCAAGTGTGCCGAGTATTCGCATTGTGGTCTTATTGAATTGAATTGAAGTGTATTCCAAGCAGTCCATCAAATTGCTATGGACAGACTTATGAATTGCATCGCCAAAATAGGTCAAGTTACATATTACAGACAGCGCATCGTTCAGAATGATTCATTTGTATCGGTTTCGTAGTGGCAGATATAATCAAAATGATCGTTTGAATATTAAAATTGAGCGCCAGTAAACATCATAAGTCATACACAAGTTTGAAGATGACTTCAATTTAGCAATATTATCAATTTTGAAAAGTCCATCATGGTGGTGCCGAAACTACTGCAGTGCTCCACCGGTCTTCCGTCCACAAAATCATCTTGATCATTTTTCGGCATTTATTTCAAATATAAGATTGCACTTGGGATGAACAATCAAAATGAAATTTTGTTAGAAACTCTGCACGTAAAACGGTTATTTGAAAGTTCATTACGTTGCCTGAATTATAAGTGTCGGTTGGAATCGAGTTCACATTTTATCGAAAATGGAATCGATGCTCGTAAAACCGAATGCTCAATGTTCCAATTGATATCTTTGAAATGGGAACGTGCATGTGAATGCAGCAGAGTAAATCAAACAGAATTATAAATTCGCATTGCTCATGCAACAACAATAATAACAAAACTATAACGAAAATACAATATCGATTTTGAAATGCTCAACAAAAGGACTTCACCAACTGACGACTATTACGATCAGATATTCCACATAAATGCACAAATATACACTTTCTGCTTTGCTGTGTGTGTCTGTGTCTTCGACGTTATGTAACTGAAATTCAAAGTAGTTGAACATGCAAGAAAGGCGCACAAAATTCGATTTGAAAAGTTTTATTTTCAATTTGATACATTCATCGCACTGCCTTCGAGTTCAACACTAATTTTGTTGTGGTTACACCAGCCACGTAAAAAGTACAGAGATGGAGAGAGAGAGAGAGAGAGAGAGAGCAGCAGCAGCACAACACCACTAACTTTGATCGGTGAATCGCTTATAATATTATCAATTCATTTGTAATTGCTGGATGAAAATGCAAAATTGAAATTTTTCAACTGACATATATCGATATGCATATAAATGCCGTTCAAACATTCTCGAAAAATGAATATCCATGAATTTCACTCACAAAGTTTGGTCAAACATTTTCAAAACGATGTTCTTTTTCTCTTTGTTCACCAACATCAACAAGCACTTATTTACACAATTTTTGTGTCGTGGATGCCTCGTTGCATTGCATATCCCAAAAATAAACTGTGCAATGAAGATAAAAGTGTAGAGTGTGTGAGAAAAAAAAAACGTACAAAATAACAACGAAATAAAACTGCACTGTATACGTTTCGGTTTTCATATTTTACAGTGAAATAAATAAACAAACAATCAACATTGAACAAACCGATTCAAATTTTCTTCAGTCGTTTACATATAGACGGATTTACCGTTTCCGATGATGACGACACTTGTCGTCCGTTGTATTTACGATGTTTTTTCCACTCGACTGTAGGGCAGCGTTTATCGTTTAAGAAGTGTTTTTCATTTATTGTAGAAACTATGTTTGAAAATTATTTGTACGTTTTTTTTTATTTTTTATTTTTTCGTTTCTCTATTGACAAAACCAAAATTCAATTTATGCAAATTTCATTTGATTTAATGATGTCTTTATTATTTTCAATTTTGTGTTTTTTTTTTGTTTGTGTTGAAAATCGGCGTTCGGAATTACTCCGATAATAAAATTGATAACTGACGGTGAGCGCACTTCTCGTTGTATTATGAAAATGCGAATACTTAGTCAAACGTTCAACGGATTTTATGTGAAAACAAGCAACGAATCTACGATACTGACTGTAGAAAGGTTAACACGGAACTAAATCGGTTTGAATGTTTCCTGGATCAGCCTAGCACATCATTTTCCAAGTAAGTTTCCTCTCGTGTTTGTTGAGTGGCCGCTGTTGTTGGTGTAGTCTTGCTTTCGGTGTGTGCGGTATGCATATCCATCTACTATAACCTACATTTTGAAAATTCTATTATTTATCCCTCCCTTGATTTTTGCATCGCATTTGTTGCTTCAAACGTTGATATTTTGCAAGTGAGCGGTGAACGAAACATCGACATGGTGTTCGTTGTAAATGCGTGACGCGCATGTGCCTATTACAATCACATTTACAAGCACATTCACAGTCACACACTCACTCGCTCATTCATTCATTCACTGATTCAGTGCATTTGAGGCATTTTCGAAAGCAAGAACTGAAGGGGCAATTTATTTCATTTGACACAGCCAAATATCGGCATCACGTGATTGAAGATTTGATATAGCTATACAGACGATAAATAATAGCCAGTCGAATAATAAAACAAAATAACATTTTATGAAAAACAAAAGCCACAACGAATACACGCAAATGCCGATTGGAAATTAATTTGTTAAAATTTAAACAGATTTCACAAATGTTTTCTAAACAAGTACTTCTCTCGTCGAACGCTTTCCAAAATTTTCGAATTATTTAAACAAATAAACAAACCATAAAATGCCAACACATTGATCTATGTTATCATGAAATTTCAAAATTCATAACAGAAACACACACACACCTACCATAATATTGTGTTAAATTGTAACAATACATTTTTGGCACTTTGATAGAGGCCAGCATCAAAAACAACATGCCTCATTGCTTAGTAAATGGATTATGAATTGTGAATATCAAATTTAATTTCATTCATATTATATATCGTACAGGGATATTCTTGGAATAACAAAAAAAAAAACATCTTTCGGGCGTTGATGGTAATGCATTAAAATAATGTGATATGTGAAGAACGACATATTTTATTATTTTATAGTTTTTTTTTTGTTGTTCGTACAATGGTATCGCATTTGTTTGCACCGATTATCATCTCTAGTTCTTTTCTTCGTCGTCTGCATCAATTGGGTTTTGGGACAATTATATTTAATGCAATTTTTTGTCCGCATTTCTAAAATGACAAAAAAATGTGGCTCCGTTAGCGCATGCAATGCACAATGATAATTGTATGGTTTTTACTTTGTTTGCAAATTACGTTTTTCTGTGTCTCATTTGAAAAAAAAAAAAGAAAAATCTTCACATAGACGAAAAAAGGATTGTATAAAAAGTAAATCATTCACATCTGCACTAAAACATATTTACCCAATGGTACAGAAAGGCAAACAAAAATTGAAGAGAATGTTGAGAACCAACGCAATTTTGTATGGTATCCTTAGCTCGATGTTCAACGTTCAACATTCAATGCTTAATATATACGCTATGCAAGATGTGTGTGTGCAATACACTAAACTTTTTACAAAAATACATGAGAAACACTAATAACATCGTCGAACAGGAGGCAAACAACGGCAACTAGAGAAAAAAAAAACACACACCAAAATACAAACACGAAATTAACCAGCAACAATAACACAGCAACTCTTTTAAAAGCAAAAGGGCGCGCAACACCACGCACTACGCCGGCCTCAACACAACACACAGAATGAAGATGGAACGGAAGAGAACCTAAGAAAATGCAGTGCTTCTAAATTTTAAAACTTATGTTTTCGCATTTAAGCTATTTTAAATTACTTGGAAAGTATTAAAAACTTTTTACTTGTGTAATACGTTCGAATAACATGAAGATAGAATAGTTTATGTCTGGTATACATTTGTCTGGGTGTGTATTCATACATTCAGTGTGCGGGCGAGAGATGGGTATTAATTCATTAGAAAATTTTGCTCTTTCTCTTTCTCGGTCTATCACTCTTATGCCTTCACTTCAAATGTGAGCACGTAAAAAGATGTGACAGACATTTTCTCTATTTTTATTTGAAAAACGAAAAGACTTCGCTCAAAGTTGCAACTCATCGCAATTCATTCAGCTGAAATCTCGCTGCATATGGATTCCACTTTTCATTAGCAATTATGGCACGAGTGTCTAGGGGATTGGCACATCATTTAAGCTTCAAATATGTTTTACAAAAGGAGTCAACATTCAAAATCATGAAAAACTTGAAATTGATTTTGACATGGTTTTTGAAATGATCCAACAATTATCATGAATTTTTGTTTAATGGTTCGATCATCTCGTTTCGAACACATCCAATGAGATTCGGACGGGTCGGATGGTTAATTGGAATTTGTTCATGATTTGAGATTGAAATGGTTGTGTACACCTCCTCGGTGTATGCCCGGTAGCAGTCATTGAAATTGCTTTGATATAGTTTACGTGAACTTTCATTGCACTTCTGCTGGTTACGTTAAATCAGAATGAAGACAGAAAAAACGGGTTTATTTCGATTTTTATGTGCCACCTCTTTTTTTCATCTGCATATACATCCAAACAAAATATGAGTTAAATGCAATGAAATTCTTCTGCTATATTTGTGGCGAAGTAAAAAAAAATGCGATTGGTATTTACTCCTCGGTTTTTCTGCGAAAGTAAAGTCGTTTTTCTTCGCCTGCATCATATACAGTCCCACATTTTATTTTCAAACTTTGTAAAATGCAATGCTGTTTGTTCCAGGGTTCCACAAAATACCACCTGATTCTAACTGAAGAATGAGAAAATGAGATAAATTGTTTTCATTCACCGCATGAAAACTGGATAAAGATCTTATCGTTATGGTATGTGGTGGATGTGTGAGTTTTGTTGCATCAACAAAATTCGTGGTGTACAATGTACATTATGTGTTTGTACGATATGCGCAATATATAGACACTAATTCAGTTACATGTATGTATATTGTATGTGCTACACAATATATTCCGGTTCACATTCATAATATTGTTCATATTTTGGTTCTTCTTTTGTTATATAAAAACATTACTGGCACACCAAACAATACAAATTGAAACAAATGCCATAGCTATGACGAATGCTGTGACCAAATTTCATAAGATGTAAAAAGCGCATCATAATAAATCGCCTTGTAAGCATACATGAACATCGATGAATTTCAAAGTATGCAAAAGTGCCATTTTTGTTTGAAGCTCAAAATCAGTGACCATGCAAATCGAATGATATTGAAATTTAAACGTAAGAAACACACATACACAAGTCTTTTACATGGTAAAAAAAATCGGCTGCAAATCGTTGGTTGTTCTTCAACAAAGACACACCAATAAAATTCCAATAATAAACGAAAATATTGACTATAAAAATAACGTAAAATATTGACTGGTTTTAATTAAATTTTTGGTCAAACAAAAGTGTGTGTACGAATACAATATGCTTGTCAAAACGTGATACAGTCACGTTTCTTATGTTTGTTCCCGAATTTAAAGTTTTTCACATTTGTATGCCTCTGTTCGCAGAATCCACTTGTCCAACGAAATAAAAAAAAAATCGCGGAAAATTTCCTTCAATTAAGTTTATTTGAAAAATAAACAAAACTTTCTAACAAATTTTACGTTCGCTGATGAGTATAAGAATCAATTTGTTTTCAAAATAAAAGTACGTTCACATTGTTTAAATCAATTAATAAACATGACCTGCACAACCTGATTAGCAATTGTAATGTTAATTAAACAATTCAAACTGAGAACGAATAACGTTGAACATACATCGCAACGATTGTACCGAAAACATTTTCTATTTCGGTATGAAAATTCCTAATACAGGCAGAACATTCCAACTTCCCATATCTAAATCAAATCCAACTCGTGACCGCCCCAAATACGACCAGTTGTATTTTATAGAAAATGCACTTTCTTTCTTCCACTTGTTGAAATAAATAAGATTTTTTAAAGCAAAATTACTCTAAAATAAAAATTCAACAGTGCCCGAAAATTTATCTAATTATATCTAATGTTCTACTGCAGTGTGTCTAAAATATATGAAGCGGCTCAGGTCTCATAATCTTTTACGAAACAAAAAAAATTGTTCCAATTATTTTTCATCAACACTGACCGGCATCATTTTCACCGAATTTCGATTCCGAGCTATTCCAAATAAAACATGCCACTTCTAGGTAGAGATGCACGTTTAAAAATGATAAAACTATAAGATACTTTGCTGTATAATGGATATGTTTCGTCTCCATTCGTGACGTGGAGCAACTTCACAAAGTTTTTGTATCCAATAGAAATAGTTGAAGAACTTTACCCTTAGATTGTCTAATATATCATTAGAAAGAAACTTTTTAAATTACCAATAGATAGTTAGAACTAAGCTAGCCAAAAAAAACTATATACTGTATTATCTAGTGCAAGATTATAAAGTCATTAACACAAAATTTAAAAGAAAATTGTGTTTCTTTTTATGAAAAACGATTGTAAATTCTGAATAATTTTCATAAAGAGCACACGCTTTTAATAAATAAAAATGTCACAGTATCCAAACCGCAAACACCGCACATCAGTGCATCTTACAAACTATATAACAACATCCTGTCACCCATTGCAAGATAGACCAAGTATTACAGCGAATTTTACCGAAAAAAATCTGCACATTCACATTTATATGGATCATAGCAATATTAACTAGCAAATTAGTCACAATTGCATACATATACAGTAGAATAAGACTCTTTTGAAAAAATATAGCATAATGTGTACCAACCATGCGTTGTCCGAAATAAACGAAATGAGAGCTCAAGTGCACAGTCATCGTAAAAAAAGTATGAAA